TTTTTTGGTTTTTCACCATTTGTTAAAGAGGCTCCAACATATGTTTTGTCTCCTTTGTCAAGAATCAGATGGCTTAGCTACATGAGACTTTGCCCTGTTTAAAACTAGATTATTTAACTTTTAATTACTTGTAGGACTTCTTTGTATAGTCTAGATGTTGACTTGGAAATATTTTCTCCCATTTTGTTGCCTTTTCACTTTCCTGCTATGTACAAGATTTAATTTTTTATGCACAAATTTTAAATTTTGAGTTAGTCTAATTTAACATTTATTTTTAATTTTTTCTCTTAGTATCACATTTTAAAAATCATTTACAAATCTAATGTCATGAAGATTTTCCTGTATGTTCTGTAAGAGTTTTACAGTTTTATGTCATATGTTTGGATCTTTGATCTATTTCAAGTTAATTTTTATTTTAAAAAAAATTTTTTTTTTTTTTTTTTTTTGGTCTTTTTGAGACAGGGTTTCACTGTGCAGTTTAGGCTGGCCTTAAACTAACTTTGTAGCCCTGGCTGGCCTTGAACTCATACAAGTCCTCCTGCCTCAGCCTCCCAAGTACTGGGATTACACCTAGCACTGCTTTTTTTGTTTTTTGTTTTTTTTTGTTTTTTTTTTCTGGTATCGGGAATCGAACTCACGACCTCACACTTGCCAGGCAAGCGCTGTGCCACTGAGCTAAATCCTCAGGCCCCCAGCACTGCTTTTTAAGTTAATTTTTATATATGGTATAAGGTAAGAGTGTGACTTCTGGGCTAGAGATATGGCTCAGCAGCATAGCACATGCCTGGCAAATGCAAGGTCCTGAGTTCAATTCCCAGTACCAAAAAGAAAAAAAAAGAGTAACTTTTCTCATGTAGATGTCCAATTTTCCCCACATAATCTATTGAAGACTGCTCTTCCCTGACGAATGGTCTTAACACCCTTTGTGAAATCAGTTTTTCTCTTGAATACCAGTTTTTGCTTGGAAATTACATCAAGAATTGGTTGACTCAGAGAGCTTTAAAAATACTGTTTTTGCTCCTTATATAAAGACTTTTCTCTAGAAAGAGTGCCTCAGATATTCATATACATAAGCACCAATTTACTGTACTTAATAGTTAAACCAAGTTTTAAATAGGTCACAATAAGTTTAGTACATCTATAACTTTTACTTTATCTTTTTAAATTTTCCTTGACATTTTCTTTCTTCTTTTACAGTACATAAACAAAGGAAAATTGCAGTGGTTCAACCAGAAAAACAGTAAGTAGTATATAGTAGGATGTCTCAATAATTGAAATCTGAAAGTTAGATTTTGTAGAAGAAATAAGTGTATCAGAGTATATCTTCTCTTTTGTTATTTTCTCAGATGGAAACATTATCTTTTAATTAAAATTTGATTGTGTACATCTTCACACAATAGACACATTTTCTAAAATGGCATTATATAAAAAGTGTAAACTGTATTCTCAAGATCTCTTCCAAATTGAGTTTCTTTGGCTTTTAGAACCTAAAGTCATTGGAATAAAAGAAAAGAAATTAAGACCCCCTTGCTGGTATTTGTGAAGAAAGAACAAAAATTGTATACACTTTCTTTTTTTTTTTTTTTTTTCTGGTACCAGGAATCAAACTCACGACCTTGCGCTTGCCAGGCAGGTGCTGTGCCGCTGAGCTAAATCCCCAGCCCCCCAAAAATTGTAAATAAGGAAATGATTTGTTAGACTGTCTTCAGGTAGAAGAAATGACTCCAAAAGAAAAGACACTTAAATGAGTATCTTTGTGCCCATTAGGAAACTCGGTAGCATCTTCACACACAGTTTTTAAAAACCAAAAGTTAATTGGTGGTCCCATTAAATCTTAAATGTACAGAGGTTTGTGTGTGTGTGTGTGTGTGTGTGTGTGAGTGAGAGAGAGAGAGAGAGAGAGAAAGAGAGAGACCAATGGGTTTTAAATTCTTGATTAGTCCTGCCATAACAAAATAGTGAAGACTGGGTGGCTAAAAGAAGTTTATTTTCTCATATCCTGAAGGCTTGAAAGTCCAGGATCAAGGTGCCACCTAGTTTGGTTCCTGATCAGGGCTCTCTTCCTGGCTACCTTCTGGCTGAGTCCTCACATGTTAACAATATCTCTCTGTCCCTCCCTTATTTTTCTCTCCCTCTTTCCTTCCCACTCCCGTTTTCCTCCTTTCCTCACCCCTCTCTTCTTCTCTCCCCACCTTCTATCCTTCCCTTCCACCTTTTTCTCTCTGTGTGTCTGTTCGTCTCTTCTTTTCCTCCTCCCTCCTCTTATAAGGCCAACGAGCCTATCAGATTATGGCCCTATCCTTATGACCTCATTTAATTTAGATTACCTCTCAATATGGTTACATTCTATGAATTTTATTCTAGGTATAGAAGTGAGATAATGATGACCAAAAAAAAAAAAAAAAAAAAAAACGGGCTTTGTTTTTTTTTTTTTTTTTACTTGTTGAGACTAATCCAAAGTTTTGGTCAGGAAGCATTCTTGAAAAATAAGTTAGCCCTTTTTAGGAATTGCTGCATACAGAATAAGTCTCTGGGCTTTTCTTTTAAAAGATAATTTTAAAACAATTTTGAAATGAATGGGAGAACTGTATATGAAATGTTTCTGTTATTTGATTATTGAAAAAAATAATTTACTTGTGCTTTAAAAATTCCACAAGAAGCTGGGTATATTGGTGCAGGCCTGTACTCCCAGCACTCAGGAGACTGAGGCAGAAGGATCATAAGTTTAAGGCCAACCTGGGCTACATAGAAAGACCCTGTCTCAAAACAAAACAGGTTAAGAATACCATAGGAAATTTTCTAATTTCTTATACACATATTATTGAAAGGAAAATTTATCTGAACCATGCAGTATCACATCACTATCTACAGATCATTCATTGGCTCATTAGACTCTGTATATAGCTTTAGAAGCAATTGCAGATTTAAAACAAAGTGTGATAAAGGACCTTCTACTTCAGATTTTGCAACTTGCCACATTTAGCGTTCTTCTTAGATTTGGAGGAAACGAACCCTTATGCTGTGCTGATCTTAAGGGTGATCTCACTATTTTGGCTATGTTTTCTTCACCCAGAATACCATCTTCTAGGACTGCTCACGAGGGCCTAAAGAGTCAGGAGCTGAACTCTACGGACTCAGGTATAACCGTTTGTAATCTTACAGAAAAGAGGACCCTTAGTTTCTTCTAATGGGCCATATTTGACATTAGATTTATAGAATGTGCATTTAGAGAAGAGTTGCTTAATTATGACTTTAGAATTATAACAATCCAAGATGTGCTTTGTGTTGTAGTCATCTGTGTGCTGATATTTCTGCCCAGTTATAATTGTAGCTATTCTTTACTGATCATTTGTTGTGTACCAAGAGCTGCAGAGGTCAGTGTTACCATCACTTGCTTTAGATGAAGGAACCTGAGGCTTTCCAGTAGGAGTGCTCTTTCTCAAGCAAGGTGCTTGAGTGGCAGAGGCTTACTCTTTTTAAACACTTTTTATGATATATACATTTTATATATAAATTACACAATTAAAATAACTACTGGATTTATTTGACTGTCCCAGAGGCAGTGACTGGTAAATGAGACGAGGCTGGTGGTTCAGGTTTTGTCAAGAGACTTTTTGATAGAACTCTTCACTAACCCTGTGCTAGCTGTATAATGCTGAGCATCTGGGCCTTGTGTGTTCTAGCACAGACTGGATGTTCAGGTGGTATTTAGTAAATGCCAAGAAAAAAACCAGGGCTCAGAGAGCTCGTACGGCTCTTGAGAGGCAGGGTGAGAAATGGAACTCAAATGTTCAAAACTTTTGTCTCTTCTACCTCTCTACCGTTTCACTAAATTGTTTCTACATAGAGGATCAGAACTGTACTAATTCCTTATTTGTAATGCACTTATGGCCTACTGAAACAACAGAATTAAGATATTAATATCTTTTCTATGATCTCAGCCTTGGCATTTTGGTTTGGGTTTTGTCATATGTCAGGTTCCTTGGGAAACAGTCTGAGTCTCCGATATTTGCATGCTAGACTTTCATAGGGAGTGCTTTTACAAACAGCTCCTAGAAAGAATAAAAGATGCAGGAATAAAGGAAACAGGATTATACCAAGAGATAGACTGAAGTGCAATGCAGTTGAAACAGAAGTTTCTTTTAGTCCCAAGGGAGTCTTGGAGCTGAGCCTACCACAGAGAGTGTCCATAATACTGGCATGGTGGCCACAGCTTATGCATTAGTTATTACAAGTAGGCTATAGCTCCCCCACCCTACCTCACAAGGAATGGGACTTTGCACAAGGTATTTCTCCTGTTGAGGGCATCCCCAGCTCAAGGCAATTAAAGGATACACATATAAGTCAGAGCTGTATAAATTGTAAACATTCCCAATAGCCAGGACCATGAGTGCTTTAATCCTGAGCAGGGGATGTGGGTGGCAGAATTCAGATGGAAAAGTGGGCACCAACAGCCTCACCACTGGGCGAAGACTGTAATCTTAATTAAAGAGAGAACGTTGTGAACATCAGGTTCTTCCAGCAGTGGACACTGTGTACTTATTTGCTTTTCTTAATGCTACATTGAATAGGAAGTATCCATCACAAGAGTCTCTCTCTGCTTTATATCAAAATGAAGATGTTTTAGTATCTTTGACGTTTTAAAATTTAGTAGCTCAAATTCCAGTTGATGTGAGGGGATTTTTAAAAAAGAACATTAAGTGAGCAGTGTTCATGAGAAAAATAATTGAGAGAAGGGTCTCAAGGCTCACAGTGTATGGAAGGAACATAAGTACATGTTCATAGCTTACAATGATTTCAGCTTCTGAGGTGTCCCGCAGGTGGGAGAGCTCACACAGCATCAAGGATGTCAGTATAACCAGCCGGAGACTGAGGCAGAAGGATCCCAAGTTTGAGCCCAGCCTGGGCAACCTAGCAAGACCTTGCCTCAAAATAAAAAATAAAAAGGACTGGAGATGTAGCGCGGTGTAAAGGCCTTGGGTTCAATCTCTAGCAGCATACACACACAAAGAAAGGGTGTGTGTGTGGGGGTGCAGTGAGGGCAGTCAGTGTATGTGTTGGTGGCTTTTAGGAGACAAACTGTAATTCTGGATAACATTCCATGTCAATCCCTACAAATACTCCAGAATAGATTATTGAGTAGTTGTTTTTCAAAGAAGGGGAAATCTTTTACTGTCAGTATCATCATAGTTCAGGAAGTGGATTCTCCCCTCTATTGATAGAAGTATCAATTGACTCTGAGACTATGTCACATCAATCCAGGAAATAATCAACACGTAATTCAGGACATTTGTTTTATTTTAGCAGAGTGATAAATTCTGTGATCTAGGATGAGATAAGCATAAACTTCTAGGTATACAGTATTTTAAGATCATCCTCAGATAATGTGTTAAGCTTCAAATATGTAATTCTGGGCCTGGGAGCATGGATCAGTAATAGAACACCTACCTGCTTGGCATGCATGAGCCCCTGGTTTCAATCTGTAGCTCCACACACAAAAAAGTAATTTATAAAACTCATTCAGTGTGTATGCTTGAACTTTTCACCCTAGCAATTCAGCTTTCTAAATATGGGGAAGAGAGTAACTTCTTAATATTTGTTTTTTTCTTAATTTCTCAGTTATAATTAATGGAAAATATTGCTGTCCAAAGATATATTTCAACCACCGTTGCTTCTCAGGGCCATATCTTAACAAAGGAAGAATTGCTGAGCTCCCTCAATGCGTAGGACCTGGGAACTGTGTTCTTGTCCTCAGAGAGGTAAGGTTCTGACCTAGAGCAGAAGAACTTGGAAATTTGATCATAGCAATCATAGCAGTCTCCTAGCCTTATTCATATGGGGAGCCACATGCCATATACGTGACAACTCTAGGCTTTATCAAGTTACTAACTTTGCTCATGTATGGTAATCCCCTATTATCTTTCAGGCATATGTCCTAAGACAGTGATGGTAAACTTAAGCATAGCACAGGTGCCGCAACTAGCTGTTTGTTTTCATTGAAAACTCTAAAAGGTTCATTATCACTATTGTAAGACCTTAATAATGCCTGAGAATGTGGGTAGTACCAAAACCTGTATAGTATGTTTTAAAAAAAAAAAAAAAATATATATATATATATATATACACACACACACACACACACACACACACACACACATAACTATCATATTAATCCATTTTTTGAGGCAGGCTATTGGGGTGCTACAGTGCCTCCCAGGGGTATGTCCCCAGTTGGCCTCAGGATAACCCAATAGGCCCCATCACCTCATCACCTCCCACATCTACCATGCTAGAACCAAGCTTCCAACACATGAACTTTTGGGAGACACTTAAGCCATACCATCTGTGATAAAGTTTAATTTGTAAATTAGACATAGTAAGCCATTAACAACAACAGTAATAAAACAACAGTTATAACAACATACTGTAATAAAAGTTACATGAATGTGATCTGTTCCTCAAAATGTCTTATGCTGTATTCACTCTTCTAATTGTGATAATGTAAGATGATGCAGTTCATACAGGTTGAGATGAAGTAAGGTGAGTGACGTAGGCACTGTGATGCAGCTTTTTTTTTTTTTTTTTTTTGGTTTTTCTCCGGTACCTGTGATGCAGCTTTAGGCTGCTTTAAAGGGTTACTTGAACACAAGCACCACACTACTTACATAATTGATCTCATAACTCATACAGCTACAGACCACCAGATGAGTAGCATATACACTGGGGGTACGCTGGACAAGGGGGTGATTCACATCCCAAGCAGAATGGCATAAGATTTCATTATGCTACTCTGAGCAGTGTAAAATTTAAAATTTATGGGTCATTTACTTCTGGAATTTTCCATTTAATATTTTTGACCGTAAGTAATTGAAACAATGTAAAATCACAGATTACAGGGTACTGCTGTACTGCAGAGTGAGTTGGGCATGTAATTATTCCTACTCCCTAAGGGAACATTTATGTAAGTAGTTCTTTACAGAGCAGCCTCACTGCTGTCAGAGACACATGAGAACTGTGAACTGAGAGAGCCAGGTGTGGAGGTGCACGCCTGTAATCCCAGCACTTGGGAGGCTGAGACAGGAGAATCACCATGAGTTCAAGGCCAGCCTGGGCTACATGATGAATTCAAGACCAGCCTACACTACAAAGCGAGACCCTGTCTTAAAAAGAGTGAACCGTGAGATCAGTCTATGACTTAGAGGCTGCATGACATTAACTGACAGCTACATGAATCTGCTGGACTTTCATGATCCCAGCTAGTGTGCTGTTCCATGGGTAACAGATGTGAGGACTTGTGGAACCTTTCAGCCCTCAGGGTGGCAAGGCAGGGCCTTGTGAAGCCAGAGCTTCTGGGCCAGACTCCTTTAGCCACAATAATGTTCGGCTGTCTGCACAGTGTCATAAACACATACACAGTAATTTTCTGTGTGTACCATGGTTGGGAAAGCATTTGGAAACAAGTGACACAGTAAACTGAAATTCATGGCGCCTGTGTTTTACTGACTATAACCTTTTGAAGGTTGATTATTCTTTATTTACAACTATGGGCAACTGTCATATTTTTGATAATATTATTTTGTTGACATTTTTTAACTAATAAAAAATTAATTTCCAAAATGGCCTTAGCACTCTGTGGGATAAGGAAAGTGCCACGGTTCTAATGGGCTGCTTTTTTTCCTCCCCAACCCATATTTCTGCTTTAAAACTGAGCTTAGGTCCTCACTTTACTTATCAATGCGGCCTATAAGCCCAGTCGTGTTCTTCGGGAGCTCCAGCTGGACAAAGACTCTGTGTGGCACGGCTGTGGGGAAGTACTGAAAGCCAAGTGAGTAGATTCCTCTACCCTTTATTATTGTTTGTCTTTATTCCGTAACACAGTCACTTCTGTGGATGATGCTTGTTCCCTGTGGCAGTGCTGCCTCAGCGATTTGTGGCGAAGATTTAGGCCTGTTTTCTTTTTTAGTTTCCATTCTGTCGTGGGTCAATAAGTTTATAATATATGGTAAAAATGAATTATGAGAAATACGAACTTTAAAAGACAGAAATGTAAGAACAATTTTTTAATGAGAGTCAAGAGACATAAAACTACTTTTTGAAACTTTTATGAAAGTTTATAAACATTTACTGTTGTTTTCTGATCTGATTGTTTTCATGGATGGATGGATGGTAGTTGGCAGACCATACTCTATCCTTGAGCCACATCATGAGAATCACTGCCCAGGGTAAAGAAAGATTTAATGAAAAGCTCCTATTCTTTTTATAATAGTAAGTAAAATTACTATTTGAAAACCTTCACCTGGGGGCCGGGGATATAGCTCAGTGGCACAAGCACCTGCCTGGCAAGCACAAAGTCCTGAGTTCAATTCCTGGTAGCCCCCGCAAAAAGAAAACCTTCACCTAAGAGTAGGAAACGGGAACTTTATTTTGCTGAATTTAAATAATAGCTTTTTGCTATCATTGTTTATCATATTTAAGTATACAATACAGAACATTCTTATTCTCAGAGTCAACAAACTGTGGACAGAGTAGTCTAAGGAGCAAAAATATTTTTCAGGTATATTAATATAATTGGTTTTTCTCTGGGTAGTCACTGGCCTGATAAATTCAGTATCCAATGTCTTCCAATGGCAGATACAAAGGAAAGAGTTATCGGGCTACTGTTGAAATAGTGAAAACAGCAGATCGGGTGACTGAATTCTGCCGGCAAACTTGTATCAAATTGGAATGCTGTCCAAACCTCTTTGGTCCACGGATGGTTCTGGATACATGTTCTGAGAACTGCTCTGTACTTACAAAGACCAAATACAGTGAGTTATGTTTTTCAAATGTGTTAATTATGGAAGCTTATACCTTATATCCTGGAGAAATATTTTTTATTTTGCACACATTCATATACAGCAGAAGTACACAAACTTTTTGTAAAGGGTCAGATAATATTTTATGTTGTTGATCTATGATCTCTGTCACACATTCTTTTTTGTTTTGTTGTAAAGAACTCTTTACATTTTTAGCTGTAGGACCATACTAAAACAGCCCATAGGACACATTTGGCTTATTTGGCCCCAGGTTGCCAACTTCTGTGTGACATGTATATAAACTAGCTGGTGCATCTAATAGGTATATAATTTATTCATACAGTCTGCCAGTTTTATGTGCCTACTGTGTGCTGCCACTGTCGCAGCTCCAAGATACAATAATAAAATAAAATTCCTGTCCCTTTGAGTTCTCACTTAATGTGGGACAGAGATCGTAAATGAGTAAGCAAATGTAGACAAGTACGAGGCTGAGAAGATGGAGCAAGATAAGGAGGCACAAAAGAGAACAGGAAGGCTGGGAACAGGTGGCCAGGGAAATCTTCTGACTGGGCACTACATTGAAGGAAACAAGGTAGGCAGCTGTGCACATGAGTTGCTAAAGGGAGCAATGAGGCCATAGGCTTTTCAGGAGTTTGCTCAGTGTCTGAAAAGCAAAAAGGAAGCCCTTGTGGATTTGAGGTGTAAATACCCAGAGAAGAAATGAGTACAGTCTCACTCTGAACTGTCCTCCCTCCTGCTTCTCTTTGTGAAACTGGGGCAGGAGTCATGTGGGATGAAATTCACAATGTGGATTCCCAAAAACAAAATTCTTCTGCATTTCCTTACATACTACAAACCGTGGTGTCACTTAGGAAAACTAACTGGGAAGAGGATTTTACTGTGTTAGATTTGAAAGATTTCTTTTAAGGATCTCTGACTCTTACTTTTGATAGTTCTTATAGATCACTTCAGGGTCTTGTTTAAATACTCATTCTGATTTATCAGGTCTGTGGGTCTCTGGGGCTATTTCCAACCAATTCCTTAGTATAGCTGATTTGATGCTGATCCACATTTGGCGTGGCAGGCTTTCTAATCAGAATTTGAATTACAAACGCATGTAAAAGTCTAACTTCGTAGTAGTTTCTATTTGTATTTATTGAATTTTAAACTCCTTAAGGGCAGGATTATTTTAGCTTACTATTATCAACCATTTGTTCAGGAAACTGCAATTATTCGGAGATAAGTGGAAAATATTATTCATGTAAATATATGAATAATGTTACCTAGAGAGAGAGAGATACTGCGAAGATTTGTGGACTTCATTATGCTTTTTGTCTGAATTTATCTTTGACAATGATAAGTTGAAATTACCCTAAGTTTTAAAAGAATCCAGTTTCTCCTAATGAGTAATTCGAGTGATCTCCAGTGAATTTGTGTTCTTAGCAGTTCATTTTGCAGAAATTTACATTAGAATTTGATATTACCTTAATACATAACCCAGAACTAGAATATATTTCATTTTTTAATTGTCTCTACATTCTAAAATTTAAATGAAAATGCAAAGAATATAGAATGCTTAAAATATTCCTGGAAAAGAATAAAGTTGAAGGACTTTTTCTCTCTGCTCCCCACTGCCTTTTTTTTTTAACTGTAAAGCTATAATAATCCAAAGAATTTGGTATTAACACATTACCACTGGCTGGAACCACTAGTGGTACATGCATGATTGTCCCATCAGGTAGCTTGTATAACCTGATGGGACTGTCCTATGCTTCCCGATGGGACAGTTGCACATATACCACTAGTTTCTTAGAGCTGCCCAGCAGCCAGACATACAAATTATGGCCCCACTGTGAACATGTTAAAGAGTAGTAAAAGCACTGGGACAAAATAGAAAGTCCAGAAATAGAGCCAAATTCTATATAGTCAGATGCTTTACAGGGGTAACAATTAGTGAGGAAGGGAAATTCTTTTTAACAAATGCTACTGGTACAAAGGAATTCTCAAATAGAAAAAGCAAAAACAAAACTATTTGGCTCATACCTTATGCCATGTACAAAAATTAATTTTAAGATCTGTCATAGACCGAATGTGGAAACTAAAACTATAAAGCTTTTGGAAAAACACAAAGAAAATATCTTTAAGACCTTAGGGTAGGCAGAGATTTCTTAGAACCTAGAAATTCACTAGCAAAAAGGAAAAAATTAGTAAGTGAATCTTAGTTACTTTTCTCGTTGCTGAGACAAAACGCTCAACATCCAAAGAAAATTCTGCAGAAGGGCATCACAGAGGAGAAATAGTCAATGGCAAGCAGGTAGGGAACAGCAAAGCAGCAGGCAGCAGCAGCAAGCCTGCCTCTCCCTTTTATCCCATGCAGGCTACCAGCCTTTCTGGTGGTGCCAACCACACCCAGAGTGGGCCTTCCTCTCTGAATTCCAGCATCACACATTTAATCCTAGTCTAATCCAGCCACACTCAGAACATCCTATATATGACCACATAAGGTTTTGGGGGGACATCTAGATACAAGCCATAACAGTGAAATATTGTGAAAATTTAAAACTTGTGCTCTTTGAATAATACCATTTTTAAAAAAGAAAACACAACCCACAGTCTTTGGAGAAATCATTCTTAATACATATATCCAGTAAACAACTTATCTCCAAAATAAATTAAGAACTCCCCCAACTCAAAAATAAAAAGATAAATTTTAAGATGTGACAGAGATAATGGTTTCTCACACCATTTTGAACATACCAACTATCTCTAAATTGTACATTTAAAAATGGTTGATTGTATGCTGTATGAGTTTCACATAAATTAAAAATAAAAGAAGCAAAATATATTTTGGAATTAGTGTAATGCTTGCAAAGCATAGTTAATATACAAAAACCATTAAATTGTACACTTTAAATGTAAGTTTTATGTTATATGAACTATATTTCAATAAATTTTTTTTTTAAGTTCTGGGGATGTAGCTCAGTGGTAGGTAGGGAGTTTGCCTAAACTTAGCCCTAGCCCTAGCCCTAGCCCTAGCCCTAGCCCTAGCCCTAGCCCTAGCCCTAGCCCTAGCCAAGGAGAGACTGAGTTTTATCCCACAAAAAATAAATAAAGAGAAACAAAACAGTTTTAAAAAAATGAATGAAAGACTTGCACATACATTTCATATACAAATGTCCAATAAGCACATGAAAACATGTACAGAATCATTAATGATCAGGGGAATACAAAACTGTAATGAGATTTGTAATAACATGGATGGAACTGGAGGATGTTGGGATAAGTGTTGGGATAAGTGAAGTCAAGCACAGAAAGATGAATATTACATATTCTCACACGTGGAGGGTAAAGTTGATCTTATAAGCATAGAAAATAGAATAGTGATTATCAGAGCCTGGGAGGGTGTGGGGGAGGGTGAATGGAGAAAGGATTGTTAATGGGTACAGGAGTGCAATTGGATAGGAGCAATAACTTCTAATGTTTTATATCACAATAGTATAACTATTCATTGTATATTTCAAAATAGATACTAGAGAGGATTTGGAATATTCCCAACAAAAAAGAAATGGTAAGTATTTGAGATGACAGTTTCAGTTGATGAATATAGATTTTTACTTGTATCTGATCATTACACATTGTATACCTGTATTGGAATGTCACATTGAACCCCATAAATATGTGTAATTATGTGCCATTTAGCAGTAAAAATGTGTTTTTAAAAAACTGAACAATAGGGCCAGGGATATAGCTCAGTGGTGCAAGCGCCTTCCTGGCAAGCGCAAGGTCCTGAGTTTGATTCCCGGTACCAAAAAAAATAAATAAAAAACTGAACAACAAAAGCACAGTGAAAAATTACCATACACACGCACTAGATTGGGTAAAATGAAAGAGACCAACATTATTACTGATAGTGGTTGGCACAGGTATGGAACAACTAGATCTCATAAATTGCTGGTGGGGGTGTAAAATTATACCTCCATTTTGGAAAGTTGACCGTTTCTTTAAATTTAATCATACGTCTACCCTATCATCCAGCAATTCCATTATTAGGCACTTATGCAAGGCAGTGAAAACATACCCATTAAAAGCCTTAAATAATAATGTTCATTGTAATTAAATTAATTATATTAAAAATGAAACAGTCTCGGTGCCTAACAGGGAAATAGATACACTGGTATGTTCCTATGATGGAATGCTAGTTGCTAACATAAAGGAATGAATTGCTCATATACATAACAGGATAGATGACTCGAAAACATGCTGTGTAAAAGAAGTCATTTACAAAAAAAGTACCTACTCTATGATCCATAGATGCAAAAATAATCTACAGTGATGGAAATTAGAGTGATGGTTGCTCTGGAAAGGGATCCCAAGAACTTTCCTCAGTTGATGGAGATGGAGATTCATTGGGGGGAAGTTTGTTCAGGTTTATGTATTTGTCAGTACTAATCAAATTGTACACTTTTCTACTTATTCTATCGTATATGTCATTTAAATCTCAAATATAGTATTTCTGTTTTTTGCTATGCTACTAGAATCTCTTGCAGTTTTAAAGTACACAACAATAATGCAGCTACTTCATTTGTCTTTGTCATCCACATTTAGCACACTATTATGGAAAGAAGAAAAATAAGAGAATTGGGAGGCCACCTGGTGGGCATAGTAACTTAGCTTGTGCCCTGAAAAAAGCCAGTAAGAGAAGAAAGAGGCGGAAAAATGTTTTTGTTCATAAGAAGAAACGCTCCTCTGCATCTGTTGACAATACCCCAGTGGGCTCACCCCAGGTAGGAGATGTGTGATGCATCTGTCATGTCTAGAAGCCAAGTGACCACTGTTTTACAATAAGGCCACAGGAAGAATACCTGCAGTTTTCTCTAATTTAGTTCTCTGACCAATAGAAGATGATTTTATAGCCCAGTACTGGTTTGTCCTGGATTTCAATAACACTTGCCTCCTTTTCCTCTAGGGAAGTGGGGCTGAAGATGAAGATGACGTAGATGAAGGGGATGATGATTCCCTAAGTGAAGGCAGTACATCTGAGCAGCAGGATGAGTTACAGGAAGAGTCAGAAATGTCAGAGAAAAAGTCATGCTCCTCCTCACCTACCCAAAGTGAGATGTCCACCTCGCTGCTCCCAGACAGACAAAGGAGAAAAAGAGAGCTTCGTACCTTGTCATTTTCTGATGATGAAAATAAACCTCCTTCACCAAAGGTACCATTTTAATAACTGTCTGTCTGTCCTTCTCACTCCCCTCTCTCCCTGTCATTTTCCTCTACAATCTAATGATGCTGGTATTCATTTCTTTCAATATAAGCTTATGGAAAATTTCTAGAGTCTCTTAATCCAAAGGCAATTATGATATTGCTGGTTTATTTGTAGTCTGTCATTTATTTTAGGAAAAGTACTTTTATAATATGCATGGTTTTAGGGGTTTTTTTGTTTTTTTTTCAGGGGGGACATACCAGGAATTGAACTCATAGCCTTGTGCTTGCCAGGCAGGTGCTATGCTACTGAGCTACACCCCCAGCATAGTATGCGTGGTTTTATAAAACTACATTATCCCTTTGCTTCTGGTTAAGTACCATGTTTAATATATACACATATACGTTATATAACTATACACACTCAAGATTATAGCTAAATTATTGTTTCAAAACTGGGTTACTTTTTAAAAATGTACTATGAGCAGGAGCAATAAAAGGGTTTTTTGCCAGTAATTTGGTTAGGTATGCTCATTGAAAATACCATCCCGTTCACGTTAGCACACTACCAGAGGCTCAGTTGAAATAAACAAGGAACAACTAGGACATTTAAAAGTTATCTTTCTTGCCGGGCATGGTGGCACATGGCTGTAATCCCAGCACTCAGGAGGCTGTGGCAGGAGGATCACCAAAAATTCAAGGCCAGCATGGGCTACATAGTGAGTTCAAGCCCAGTTTGAACTATATAGCAAGACCCTGTTTCAAAAAACAAAAAGGTGTTTTTCTGTTAAATTGTCTATAAATTATTTGTACTGAAACTTTAAGAACTCTTCCTCAGTGGTATTTTGTGTTGTAAAAGTCAGTTTAAAATTTGTTCAACCAGGTATGGTGGTGTATGCCTGTAATCCTAGCACTCAGGAGGCTGAAGGAGGGAGGATCACTCTGGGTTTGAGGCCAGCCTGGGCTACACAGAGTTCAAGTCCAGCCTGGACTACATAGTGAGACCCTGTCTCAAAAAAATAAATAAACTAAAATTTGTATTATAATTTTCTCAAGTACTATATTAATGCATATGGGCCTTTACCATCTTTGGCGGGGAGAAATCGTGTCCTAAATTCACTTTTAAACCCTGTTTTGAAGGATTATAAATTTAAGTGGAGATTTTTTTTGAAAGAATAAAATAGCTCTTACATCATTTGGTTTGGTTTTGTTGGGAATGAAGGAAATAAGGATTGAAGTTGCTGAAAGACTTCATCTGGATAGTAACCCCCTGAAGTGGAGTGTGGCAGATGTTGTACGGTTCATCAGATCTACCGACTGTGCTCCATTAGCAAGAATATTCCTAGACCAGGTAATCACAGACAGCTGTAATCTAAAATAATAATGTCTTTTTAGCAAAGAACTGTGCATATGATAGTCCACAATTTATTTACAACTTGCAGGAAAAATGTTTTAACCCAAAAGAACATTGGTTTAGGTCCCTTAGGAGAGGAAAGTGATAAAAAGAATTATTTATCAGACTGACTTCATAGTGAAGCAGGTTATCATTGCATTCCAATTTTTTTCCAAAAATTTGATTCTATTCCCCCAAAATTTAGATAGTTTAAAATTGAGCATGACTTGCTTAATTATCCTCATCTTTTTGAAAATAATTTACTTTTTAAAAGAAATATTAGTATTTGGTATACAACAGCCTGTAGAGTGGTAACTAATTTTAAAGCAAGCCAGGTGTGGTGACCTAATCTCAGCATTTGGGAGCCTGAGGCAAGAGGATAGCTGTGAGTTCAAGACCAGATTGGGGTATAAAGTTCAAGTTCAGGCAGGGTGGGCGCATGCCTGTAATCGCAGCACTCGGGAGGCTGAGGCAGGAGGATTGTTGTGAGTTTGAGGCTATCCTGGGCTACGAAGTGAGCTCAAGGCCAGCCTGAACTGCATAGTGGAACCCTGTCTCAAAGACCAAAAAAAAAAAAAAAAAAAAAAAAATTAAGGCAGGCTTGCTGAAGTACAAACAGTGGTGGGCAGGGACTGTAGCTCAGTGATCCAGTGCCTGCCTTACATGTACAAGATCCTGCGTTTGACCTCCAGCACTGGGAAGAAAAAAGTCAGTGACCCTAAATAAATATTGAAATTTCTCTGGTAATTGGGGGAGTTCAAAACTGAACATCGTTGAAGATTTTAATTGGTTTTTACGAATGTTATAAGTAGAAGAGCACTGAAGTTTATAGTTAATATTTTGTTTCAGACTTAGAAAGACCCCTCTGACAAGATGTTATTTTGGCACCGTTAGCTGCCTGTTACAGGGTTCACTACCTTACTGAATTCTGCCGAGCAGAGGTTCTGAAGAATAGATTCTCATTCTTGGTAGAATTTATTATTAGCCTAAAGGTTTTTTAGAGTAGGATTGCAGAGCCACCAAAAAGAAAATGTGTGACATTTGTTTAAAGGAAAAAGGACGGACTTTGGGACTTTGGTCCCTGAAGGACAGGGACTTTATTTTTGAGAGACAAAATGAATGGGGACTGTGGTGATCAAGCTGTCAGTCATGTGCATATAATACATAATTTGCCTTTATCCTTTAACAGGAAATCGATGGTCAGGCCCTGTTGCTCCTCACCCTTCCCACCGTTCAAGAGTGCATGGACTTAAAATTGGGCCCTGCCATCAAGCTTTGCCATCACATAGAAAGGATCAAATTCGCTTTTTATGAGCAGTTTGCCAACTAAGACGGACAACCAAAGTGAGCTGGACCTTTGAAGCACAAATGCAGCAAATCCCTCACCCTGTTCTATAAGTGGAGCTGAACAGTCCTGGGGCTCTGGACCCTGCAGGTGTCGGCTTGCTCTCTTTGCACTTTCAGGGAAGGAGGACCCACACTGAGGAAGCAAAAATGGCACAAAAGTGGCTCTCCTGCCAGTGGAAATGTGGACATCTCATATTCAGCAGATTGCAGTTTTTAAAAAATAAAGGCTGTGAAGAAAAAAGTCAAAAGAAGAGTAAGCATTTCCAGTGGTGTGGACTGAAAACAAAGAATAATCTAGGTGACTGGATAGCACCTTTTTAATTTTCTTTTCATCCTGTTTCTTCCCACTGTAGACTGAACTTCGTTCTCTGCTTTCTTTTCTTTCTTTTTTTTTTTTTTTTTTTAAAAGAGAGGACATAGCTTTAATAGCTTTAATTCAGCACTGGTTTGCAACGGTGCCTAAGGCACATCAGTGCTTCATTGTCATTGTGTTTTTAAAAGTTTTAAAATTAAAACAGTTCATTCTTGGGATAATTATGTGGCTCCAAGGTTTTGAATGTATAGTCATACTTTGACCCATTTTAAAATGTGTTCTTAAGAGTTCCTTTGTTTACTACCTCTGTTGATAATTGAGCATACGGCCATGAATGAGGTTTTTGTATGATGCCATTTTTAAGCTAGTGAACACTAAAACTATGATAGAAGTTGGAGGGGAGAAAAACACTGTTTAAAGAACATTATGTAGGCACTTAAACCAGTTCCTCAACAGACCTGACCTAAGAACTCTACTGTCATTGTTCTCCATTGACCCTGCTCCAGCTACCTGTGTTAAGTAGCCTCACGAAGATTGTTGTAATTCAGTTTGATTACTCTGTCCTTATTAGTTCTCAGAGGACTTGCATAGCTTTTATTTCGTGTTTGCTTTTCTCTAGAGTTGTCTACCTCTGTTTCATTTTTGGAGTCCTTACTTCTTGGTGAAAATCAGTAGGTATTCCTTTGACCCAATGTAAAGGAAGGCCATTTCTCTGTAATCCCAGCACTCAGGAGGCTGAAGCAGGAGGATTGCCATGGATTTGTGGCCATCCTGGGCTGCATAGCTAGACCCTGTTTTGAAAGAAAAAAAAGAAAAAAGAAAAGAGCGAAAGAGCCCTCCTGCCCACCCATTTCTCCTGCTTTTTAGATGAGCAGCAGAGAGTATGCCAAAATAACATCTGTGTTACCCTGGGGAGGTAACACAGCATGGAGGTTCTGCAGCAGTTTCCTCAGTAGCAGGGTAAGATTGGGAAGTGGTTCGTGAGTCTGGAAACCCCTTTGCTGAGCCACCTTTATGCTTTTCTTCAGTTAACCCTTTAAATTGAACGCAGTCTGTAGATGGAAGTCCCGTTTGATAACTCAGTGTCCTTTTTGGTGTTTCTTTTAACTCAGCTTGAATTGACATGAAACTAAGGCAGATTTTTACTTTTTATGATTTTATTGCCAGATATTAGAAAATAATAGCACTTGTTACTGTTCTAGGCAAGAATGAGGAAAGATATACACAAATTGCCCCTTTATATGGTTTATTTATTTATTTTTGCATTATTCTAGTCACTGGCAAGTTTATAACCTGGTCATTTAAGAACTGAAAATGTTTCAAAACTGCAAACTGGGTAAATTCCAAGCTATACAGATATAAGGTAATGCTATTACAAATTTAAACTGATGTGATTCTTTTCCTTTTCCTTCCTTAAACCCCACTTGTTTTTATGCACATTGGCAAATCCATAGTCTGGACACTTTCTTCATTGGATAATTCATAAACCACTTTGACTCAAGCCCTCCAACCAAATCATAAGGCATTAACTCTGCCGAGGTTAATACCAGGTATCTTTGGAAAGAAGCTTTATTTGAGTAAAAGTTAGCCTATTTGAACATACTCAGAGATCCAGTTTTAAAAATTTAATTTTATGTCTGTGGAAGAAAAACATACACATGATACTAGGGAACAGTCAGCATCAAGCAGGTAGACTGGAGATGGTGGTGTCTTGTTTAATAAAGTTTCCTGAGAGCTTAGCAGTCAAGGCACGGGGCAAAGGAGGGTCCCCTGAGGAAGAGCAATGGCACACAAAACTTCTGGAATTAATGTTTAGGGTCTTACATTGCTGTCTGGTTTAGGAAAATGAAACATAAGAGGTAATTTACCGAATGTGATAGTATTGAATGTTATTTTGTCTCTCTTCTTGACTTCTTCAGAAACCAGCATTTAGAACCGCTCCCTTCACAGATGAGGGGCTGGAGCCCCTGATAGTTGAAGTACATGGTCTCTAACCTGGGTGGGGTTGGAGCATAACAGGGGGTCTGTCTCTGCCGTGATTATTCAAGCCCTTCTAGAGAAAGGCTGGCTTTAAGTTGGACATGTGAGTGGGGTTTCCCTTAATATTTCTTGCATTCATCTGCTGGGATACAGTTTATTGGACAGTTGTATTAAAGAAAAACTGTATTCCCCCAGCCCTTCTTCCAGCTATTGCATACTAGAGGATAACTGTTCGGGAATTTGCCACAGGGCATTTTTTTTCAAGTACAAATTTCCAATACCATTTACCTCATAGAGCTGCTGGGACTAGGAACAGTGACAGTCTATTTACTGTGATGCAAAAAGGATTTTAAACCGATAATAGCTTACTGTGTTGGAGTAAAATGCTTCTATGTTACACACGTATATATATGAACTTCATTTCTAGAGACCAACTCTTAAATTTATGAGAGGTACATTGTAAGGATCTACATTTATCTGGCTTTTACCTGTAATTGGCCTCACAGCCAATCAGGTTTTTCATGATCCATTTTTACCCTGGATTAACAGGCTTCGAACCAAGTATAATGGACTACAGTCCATCTCCTTGACTAGAAAAGTTAGACAGCCAATAGACCTTTACCACTATGTTAGCCCACAAGGGAGACCTTTTCCTGTACACGGAGATTTGCTCTGGGACTTTTACTATAGTTCGTGGGCTTCTGGGGACCATGCTGTTTTCTTTTGTGAACATCTTCATCCTTCTCATTTGAGCAGAATTTGAAGTGACTAAGGCAAGGAATGCAGTAAGGGGGACTTTTAACCCCATCTTTAGATTTTCTTTAGCAACCTAGATGGCTACTGGGACCTACAAAATAGACCCTTAAGTCAGGGAAGGATAATTACCAAACACTGGAAATAATGATACTCGTAAATATTTATTGAATTATAATAGAGGAACATATAGAAAACAAGTCCAGAATTTGGCCTTTGTATGCCTTCTCTCTTGGAAGTTAAATTATTCTGTGAGAGAAAGGGCATTGGACCAAAGTTTTCTGAGGACTTAAATACATTTTACTTGCTCTGTAGTCTAAATTCAGTCACTAATGTAGTTACCTGAATACAATTTAAAAGCTCTAGGAGGCCCTAGGGAAGGATTCAGAACTATTCCTCTTTTTCAAGCCAACAACTCTGTTTTCAGGGGACACATAGAAAATCAGGTAATCTAGATGGAGACATTGTGAAAACTGTCACTGGCACTTAATTTACTTGGCATCTGTCACCAAAGACTTACTTGCTGGCTTGATATATTCCCATAGAACCTCTGAAAGAGTTGTTAGCCTCAACAGTGGAGACAAACTTCGAATTTTAACTCTGATCCCCTGTATTGGAGATGTTCTGTGTGTATGCATGCACACAATTTCAGAAGTGTTCTGTGTTAGTTAGCAGTAGGAAATATATTGGTCTTATCATGAAGGAGGCATCATTAACAGATACGAAGTATAAATCTTGGTACAGACCAGTTACTCCCTTTTTAAATTTGAATGTCTTTGGTCCTGGGTCTACTATAAGTAACCATGTGTCACAGGTATGCTGCTGGCTCAGAAACTGTTAGAGAACCTCCTACAAAACTAAAATGTCACTTTCCTGTTGTTATAATTCCTCCTTGACTTTATTCACTGTAAATGTTTTACTAGTGAATTTTGATGATTCCTTTGTATGAGAATGTGTATACTTTGGAAATTTGAATTTATCTAAACAAGCTACCTATGGACTTGGGAGTTTCGGTGTAAGAGTTTTAAATTCAAAGCTGAGTTCAAATTGATCTGGTTTCAAGCCCACTTACTTGAGATGGTTTCCTTGGTACTTGTCCCAGACCACACTGGGGCCTTGTTTCTAGAGGCACCCTTTTAGGGGTGAGGTGTCGAAGGTAGTGGGCATTACAGTGCAGTGCAGGTTCATTTTCCTGGATATGGTGTTTAAAAAGTCAGACGTTCACAGGATCTAGCAAAACCAGGAGTGAAGAGTTGAGGGTATAGAAAAATAGACCTAACGCTCTCCCCTTATGCTGACTGGTCTGTCCTGGTGCTATGGCCTATCACAAAGGACTGTAGGGAAAGGGAAACACGCAAGCCAGAGCCTTGCTTGGCATGTCTCTACACCAGCAGTAAAGTGCAGACCTGAGCCCTAGGAGGCAAAAGATGATGACCAGTGAAATGGTGCCACCATTGCTCATGGAGATTGGCATGCCTGTTCACAAGATGTGTGGAAATTCAGGTCTAAGCGTTTCTTTACATGGCTTGTTCAGTTAACCGCAAGCCTAGCCTGGCAGAATGGAGGCAGTCAAATAGTATTGAAAGGAAGAGGGTAGGCTTTTGGGCAAATCAAGTCACAAAACATATGACTGAGGGAGTCCATAAAGCTTAGGCAAAGTTAAAGCTGGATAGTTCTTAGCTCCTTTTGCACGGATCTCTGAGGAAGGTAGTTTGAATGTTTCTTTTGAGATTTTAAGTGCTGATTTATTTTCCTTTCCCTTCCTTTTTTGGTTGAATATTCTCTAAAGACAATCAGAGGCCTGCCAGGGAAGGACTCCTGGCTGGTTCCAGCACTGTCCTTAGGCCTCTTTCTAGTAGTAACTTGTTGGAACTGATGCACTTTGTTTAATGTATTTTACCTTTTTTTTTTTTTTTTTTAAGCTGCTTGTTTGGAACTAAATGAAATGCTTATTACATTGTATCTTTCCTGCTTGCTGTTTTTTCTCTTAATTTCAAAGTTATGCATTGAAAATAAACTACCCTTAAGCAGAAATATGCGCACGAATACCTATTAAAGTAACTCCCATCATTTGATGGTATAACATCAAAGGATTAAAAACAAAACACACTGAAACTATTTTGGATGAATATCTGTGTGTTTTATTTTTCATAAATAACTGTGTAAACTTGTAGTGTAATATGACATTTAAGAGAACTTCATTTTGCAGATTTGACAGTAAGGAGGGCATTTTTGCCAGAATATATTCTTCAAAACTCCAGGGGAGCCTCAGAGAATCATTTCTGAATGGATGAGAAAATTCCCTTCTACTTTAACAAAATTACAGAATTTTTTCCCCCTGCTCTCTCATCCTTTCCCCTCTGGATTTAGATGCTTTTTCATTTCAGCTCAGGAAAGGAAGGAACAGCAGAATCCTCCACAGTGACCTTGCTCCTGACACTGGGGATTCTGCCCTTGAACTCTAAAATGATTCTTGTTCTCTCTGGGCCTTAAGGATTCCTCCAATCTGGATGTCCAAACAGGGCTTTGTCCAGAACTTCATTTTTCAGCCCACCATGCAATTTTCCTTGAGCTGTCTGTGTCTTTAAGCAACTCAGATCTCCTTATTCCCAGTCACAGTCTCCTCTGCTTTAAGACATGTTCTCTAGTTTGGTTCTCTCTGAATAAGTACTGTTAACTGTTGAGCATCCTCGTGAGATCTCTCTTGGTCTTGAAAATAATAATCTAATTTAATCTTCTCTTATCCATTTATTTTCTTAAACTGCTTTTCTGTATTTGCCAATGGTCAATATTTGTGGAGAGTTTTAAAATTTATAAATTAAACTTCAACTTAATTTAAAAAGTATTTTTGTTGTATGTTATCTGTGCCACACATTGTGTTGGATTCATGAAGGAATAAAAACCAGTTCTTGTCTTCAGAAGGCTCACATTTAGCTGTGGGAGACAGACATGTACATAGGTGTGTAATTTAGCACAGTGGAAAGTTATAGTAGACCACCACACGCAAGGAAATGCGGAAGCACAGTGAAGAGAAGGCGGACAGGTGGCCCCAAAGCATAAGCAGCAGCTGGCAGAGCAGGGAGAAGCTACAATGCTATGCAAAGATACAGAGGTGAAAGTGTATTGTAAGATAAAGGCTGGAGAATTGTATTTTTTGTTGTCTGGCTAATCAGGTAAATATTCCTGTCAACTAAGAAACTTTTTGGCTACCATTTAATCCTCATATAATTGGAATTTCTTGTAGCTATTTTATAGGAAAAAAATTCCCTAGATGTAGTATTTACTGTTCGACAAAGGTGACCAGACTCAAGCTATATGTACACTGACATACAGCAGGAAGGACTGGTGCTTGGCACCAAGCGCTATCTAGACAGAAGCCAGAGGGAACTGGCATCCCTTTAGAGTCAGAAAACAGGTTCCAGCGTGTCAGGTGGGAGTTAACATGTTCCCCTAGGCTTGAACCACCCGATGGAACTGCCCTGTGCCGCCTGATGAAGTCATGTATGTACCACCAGCGGTTCAGAGCCCGCCTGGCAGCTGGACATAGGAATTACAGCTTTTGCCCTGAACATGTCTGTGTTGCAAGGGATGCTGAGACTGGCAAATACCAGTCATCTGCCTTTTATCAGTCATTCAACATGAAGTTGTGCCCCCTAAGTGAACAAAGCGAGGACATTTGTACATTGACTTTCCAATCTAAATTCGGTATATTTCTAAATGGAAGTATTAAATTCAAGTCACCATTTAAATTACGTTTTGGGGCCTGCATGGTCACCCGTCTGTAGCCAGCTACTGGTGAGGCTGAGGCAGGATTGCTTGAGCCGAGTTCTGCGTTTAGCCTGCGCAACACAGCAACATCCGGTCTCAAAAAAAGTTGATGGGGTCGATATTAATTTGGGGCTTTGCTTAATGACTTGAATTTCCTGTCTTCGGGCCTGGGAAGCAGAAGGGCACGGAATGTCAAGGAGGACACCTGTGTAGTCTTGCTTTCCTCAACCACCTGCTCAGAGTAATCCAGTTGCAGATTATCGTGGCCCACTCCTGAAGTGCCAAATTGGAATCTGAGGGTGGAATCCAAGCATATTTTAAATAAATTCACCAAGATACAAGGGATTTACCTTGGAGGGAAGAAGAATTTGTAGGCGTCCAAGGACGGACGTCCCTGCCACTGTCTTCCTGACCTCTGGAGCTCGCGGTCCCCCGGCTCGCGTTCTGCGCTGGGAAGCCGGGGCGCACCTGGCCTGGCTACTTGCAGACCCAGACCCACGGCCCCGCCCACTCGCCTTGGCTGGAGCCCCGCCCTTGGGGCAGCAGGGCCCGCCCCCGTGCCGGGCCGGACCAATCAGGCGCTGTGATCTCAGACGTCGGCTTACGCGCGGCGCCGAGTCCGCCGCCTGCAGAAACACCCGCCCCGCGCTTGGCGGCGCGGCCCCGGCAGCAGTGAGGCCGGGCGGCCCGGCGGCCCGCGCCCTCCCGTCAGGCAGCCATGCAGAGCCCCTCCGGGAACGCGAGCCGCGGACTGACGGGCGGGCCGCCCTCTACGGTGGCCTCCGGGGCGGGCCGCTGCGAGAGCGGCGCGCTCATGCACAGTTTCGGCATCTTCCTGCAGGGGCTGCTCGGCGTCGTGGCCTTCAGCACGTTGATGCGTGAGTCGGGGACCCCAGCCCTTCCTCAGGCCCTGCGCTAAGAGCCACCGGCCCCGCCCCGCCCCGGGGGCCCTCCTGCCCAAACAGGTCAGGCCTGGGGACCTGGGCCCTTTGGCCAAGACGCCTCCTCCCGCGCCAGCCCAGCCTGGGCATTCTGGACTGCGGATCGCCCGAGTCCCTGACCCCACCGTCCTGAGTCGGGAGGAACCCTACCCCTCGCCACCTTACATGTCTGTCTTCTGAGGTACCAGTCGAAAACTAGTCCCCCTTCCCATCTTTTCATCACGGATTAAGATTACTTCGCGAAACAGCCTTGGAGCTGTGGACCCCCGAGTGTGGCATCCGTCCGTCTGCTCCCTCTCGGGGGCTCCCCTTTAGCCTTTCCCTTTGCGCGTTAAACCCACGTCCCTACATCTAGTCTGATGTGAGCGTTTTCTTTTTCTCTTCTGTTTTTGCACTTCACTCTTCAAGGATTTGCATTCTCTGTGCTCATTTGAATCTTGCTACCTTGTATCCCTTGTGGTTCTTGAAGTGTCTTAGGTTCCCACGTTCTGTTTTCCAGGACCACCAGCCCCCGCCCTGTGGTCCCTAGATTTTCCCTTGGTCATAGCAGGACCCGCCCAGACTGCCCTCTCCCCAGCACCTCCTCGTCTCTCTCCGTTCTTCCCCAGCAGGACCACCTGTTCCATCTTTGTCCCAAGCTGACCTTAAGTTGCATCTCAAGATTTCCCTGGCCGTTCCCTTTCCCACACTTTTATTAGGTAAATATTAAGTTTCCTTTTTTGCATGAAACTCAGGCAAACTAATGACTTAATGGAGAAAGAGGCCCAGAGGGTCAAGGGAGATCTCAGGATCCCTTTGCTGTCACCAGGGGCACTTCCTTGGGAGTTTCCTAATGAGAAGAAGTCCCAGAAGGCCCTTGTTGCCCAGTGTGCGGGGGAAGGGGTGGAGGCAGGGGCAGGGGCAGTGTCGTGCGGCTTAGAGTTTGGTGAGGGTGTTGTTTTCTTAGTACACATCCTTAGAAAAGTAACTCAAAGCTTTGTGTGGCACACGGGCCTAGAGTACCCTGTGATCGTGTTTTGGGTGCAGAGAAGGTTATAACTATCTGTCCCGAAGCATTAATTCCAAAATGACTTGTTCTCAAACTTTCCTGCCGTGCTCTGGGCAGAGCAGAGAGTTCCAGCTCCTCGGTTAGCCTCAGGGCTCGGGAAGCTGTGTGCAGATACCTTGTAGGGTCTCATTACCTTACTCGTTTGTAGCAAGTGTTTGTGGAAGTGAATTTTCTGAGGCTTCAGGTGACCCTGGCGAGGTTCTGACTGTGGACACTGCTTTCTTCTAGTTTCCTGGCCTTGTTAAATCTTGCAACAAATGCTCAAGTTTTAGTGTTTGCTACTTTTTCTTTCCTTTTTAGTCTCTATCTGCCTTGCTACCTTCTCTGCCTAACAAGTAATTATTCCCACAACAGTTTGTAACAACTTAACCAAATTCAGTTGCTGATTTGGGAGTGTGCGTGTGTGGGTGCCTGTGTGTGCATGTGTGTGTGTGTGTGTGTGTGTGTGTGTGTTAAAGACATTGTAAGTAGGGCCTCACTCCTGTCCTACTTCCCTCACCTCCAGCCAGCATTAATTTGAGAGGCATGGGTTCTAGGAATTGAACTCAGGGACCCACACATGCTGGGTCTACCACAAAGCTGTATTCTCAGCCCTGGTTCAATTTTTATTTTATTCCTTGACCAGAGCTTCTGTAGCCTACCTAACTGTTACGGCTTCTATCTGCATGTCCCCCTCATGCAGTCATAGGTGGAGCTTTTCAGAGGCAATTGGCTCCAGAGTGTGCGATATTGGGATTAAGTATGTGATGCAGGGATCCAGTGTGTGTGATTACTAAATTAGTCCATTGATTGGTTTGGCATAGTTCTGGCTGTAGATAATGGGAAGGCCCTCCCTAGGTATGAGTGTTACCCACCCTTAGTGTGCATAGCCTGGATAAAATACAACGGACAGAAAGAACATTGTTGTCGGTCACTTGCTGCTTCTTTGCTACTTTGCTGCCTTCTGTCTGCCATGAACTGTCTCTCCTCTGTGATGCCCCTCTACCATGCCACTCTGCCTTAGAGCCAGCAATTATGAACTGAAACCCCTACAAACTCTGAACTGAAGTAAACCTTTCCTCCTTAGCTTTGGAAGTCTGGTATGTTGCCTCAGCTATGAGAAAAGTAACTAAGACACTAACTGTGGCTATTTTGTGGTTTTGATTGATGATGGCCTGCCTTAGCGCCTCTAGGGTTTGGAGCTTGTAATTCAGAGAAGCAAATGTGATTATGACAGGGCAGAGTTGCTCACAGCTATGTATGCCTGGTTGATTGTGTTCAGAGTGCAGATGAATTCAAAGATGAACTGAAAAATCTCTGGGGACACACTAACCTCTATTTAATCTTAAGTGTGAGCATATGTGCAGATCCCACTGTAGTTGGTGCTTTCTCTGCAAAAACTGGAGAAGAACGTAGACTTTTGCTCAGTGGAAGTCTTGATGTGGAAGGGGTTTGTAGAAGTGGCTGGCAGGTCCAGGGACAACGGAGAGTAGGAGCAATGAAGAACTGGAAAAGGCAGAGCTGGTTCTGCTGTGGTTCTGGAAGTGAAGATGACAGCGAGACCCTCATTACCCTGCCTAGACACAGAAGCAGCAGGCCAAGGTGATGGACTGTGGAGCTGGACAAGATCCCATTGGTGGGACTCAGTAGGGGATGTGCCTTTCTGTGGTCTGGTTGAAGTAGAACTGTGGGGATTTTCCTTCTTGAACTGCTGGGGAGAGGAAGAAATCCCTAAGAGGCTGCCTTATACACTAGAATAGACTTCGCTGGGGAAGTGGAAGGGGAGTGAGGTAGTAATCTCAAGGAAATGAGTCTGTCAGCTGTTAGGCTCTGCCTTCCTAGTCACAGAGACTGTTTTGTCAGTCTGGCCCCGCTGCAGGAGGTAGAGGGCCAAATTCCTGGATGAGAGTGTCCACCTGGTTGCCCTTGAGGAAGGAAGGGCTTGATTTGCTTGAGGCCATGCCATCCTTTATGACCATCTACAAGCACATTTTAAATGCTAGTCAGTCTGTCCTGAACAGTTTAAACTAAAAATCTGTCTTCTTTGAAGCGGTAATCTTTCCCCTTCCAGGTATTTGTGTCCAGGCAGTAGACTTAGTTCCTGTCTTGGATGCTTCTCTCACTCTAAGGGCAGGAACTTGTGTTTTCCTGTTAGACCAGCTCCCTTTGTAGACAGTGGGCCCACTTCTCTGCCAGACAAACTGAATAATCTTCTTCACTTCAAATCCCTGATTTCAGTGAGTCTTCAGGTCACTGGGTTTATGCACTATTTTTTTTTTTTAACTTAGATGCCACCTTTAACCAGTTGCTTGATTTTTTAGCTGAGAGGTTTTGTCCTGGAGGAAGATGTCACACAAATCTTAACAGCCCCAGGGAGAACTTTGGTTCTCACCAGGATTATCACCCTGGCACTCTAAAAGACTTCTTGTCCTATGTGTGGGGTTTTATAGACTTAGTGCAGGCAGTTGTGAGCACATATGCCAGGTCCTATATGTAACCTGTTTTTCAGTCGGTGTGAATATGCAGACCGTCACAGGCTACCATCCACTGGCATATCCTGATGTCGGCGTCACCTTGTTAGTGAAGTTGTGGGCTTTGCAGAGGGTCCAGCTAAGGAGCCCTGTGTGTGTGCAAGGAAAGCCAAGCAAACCCAGAGGCCAGCTTATTAGGTGACTTTCCACTCTGGATCTTCAGGGATCTCATGGAAGTGACTGGTTGTCTGCATAAAAAGAAGCACTTTAAGTGAGAGGGCTTGGTTGTGCTCTGCCTGTCAGGCAATTCTTGTTTTGGTAGCTTTGTCTCTAGTCTGTGACTCAGTGAAGTCACTTAAACCGGAGCTGCAGCAGAACAGAGCTGAGCAGCCCTGGAACTCAGCAAGTTGTTCCAGTGTGGGGAAGTTGCCCGGCCATCAGCCAAAAGGTCATCATTGGCCAGTGTGTGTGTTGGCATTTGTGGGTGTTTATTCTCATAGCTTGTGAGTGCAAAGCAAACTCAAGCCTTCTTCACCATGCAGAGTTCTGGGCTGAAGTGTGGAGAGAATTGGCTTTTAACAAAACAAGCATTTAAGAGCTTGGATAAATCTATTTTCGTGTCACCCATATACAGACCAGCAGGCTGGCAGAAATCTGTTTGTGTGGGACAGGAACAGTTAGAAGGGTAGTCTTTATCCTGTGGCCCAAAGTCAAATCACAAGCCAGTCCCCCTGGCTTTCATATCTTAATCTCAAGTAAGAGTGCTTGGTGTTGTCTGTCATGTTGAGCTGACTTCTCTGCATCCTCTGTGTTGGTACAGCCTTTTCTGTGATCACCACTCCCACACCCTACACGCCATCCCAGTTTTTATCTCAGAAAATGTCAGACACACAGGAGAGATGAGAGACAGTATAGAAAACATCTGTCTACCTTGTACCTAGATTCAGCGATAGTTTGAATTTTGCAACATTTACTTTATCTCCTTTTGGGGAGGGGGTGCTTGGCTATCTGAAGAAAAGAGGCATCAGTACCATATCACGTGTCGTCCCTAAGGACCTCAGCTAAGTCTACTAAGGACAGTCTTCTACATAGCCACTATCTCCTATTCAACCTAAGAGAATTAAGAATATAGTAACTCCATAATATTATGTAACAATATATTCTGCATTCCCCTTTCCCCAAATATCACAAGTCTTTTTTGGTTTTTTCTCCGGTACCGGGAACCGAACTCACGACCTTGCGCTTGCCAGGCAGGCGCTTTTGCCGCTGAGCTAAATCCCCAGCCCCCTATCACAAGTCTTTTATAGCTACGGTTTTAAAAAACTGATCCAGTCAAAGTCCATACATTGTATTTGGTTGTTTTTAAGTCACTTTTACTTCTGGAAGTCCCTCCCCCAATAAACACACACACTGTACACACACATTTTCTTTTCTTTCATTTCATTTCATTTCATTTCACTTTTTTGGTGGTAGAGCTGAGGATCAAACCAAGGCCCTCACTCATGCTAAGCAAGTGGTCTGTTACTAAACTAATCTCCAGCCCAGCCTAACCCCCTACTCACTCCATGCCTTGGTTTAAATACATTGACTCTTGCAAGAGTGCCTGTTGGGGATGGGAAAATTGTCTTACATTCTGGAGATGTCTCCATGTATCACTGTTGTGGTGTTTGTTTCCCAGACCCCTGTGTTTCTTTGCTTTGGTCTGGAGGAGGAATTAGATCATGAAATCTTTTTTATAGCAAGAACACTCCATAAGCAGTGGTCTCTGTTTCTTGTTACATCCTACTGGAGGCACAAAATTCAGGCTGTCCCACTATTAGTAACAATAAAGTCACTGACTTAGAGGCGGAGGAAGACCCCTCATCTCTCTCTTATAAATGTATATTTCCCTTTGGCAACTAATAAATAATACCATGTTTCTCAGTAACCTTTCACCCAGTGATGGTAGAATGAGAAAACCCAGATACGGCTTCATTAGGGCTGGAGCTCAGGACTGAAGCCACCGGTCTCTGGGCCAGCACACTCCATAAAATGCCAGTGTCCTTTCCTCCCTGTGAAATACTAGTCCAGGCAAAGAAAGAACATTCCTTTTTCTGTCCCAGGCTGGTATTGTGCCCATGAGACAAAGTAGTACAGGCGATGTTAGTATGCTAATATCAGGGTCTTTATTTTTAGCAAGTTTTTAGATTTTCTAAATGCC